AAATACCATGGGGCCTCTCCAAGAACGGATTCCTTCATCCACGCTACACAGTGCAGATGGAAAAATCTTCCCGCCAGCTGTCGAAATACCATGGGGCTTTTCCAAGAACGGATTCCTCCATTCATGCTACATAGTGCAGATGGAAAAAATCTCCCCGCCAGCTTTCAAAATACCATGGGGTCTCTCCAAGAACGGATTCTTCCATTCACGCTAAATAGTGCAGATGGACAAATATCCCCGCCAAATGTCGAAATACCATGGGGCCTCTCGAAGAACGGATTCCTCCATCCACGCTACATAGTGCAGATGGAAAAATCTTCCCGCCAGCTGTCGAAATACCATGGGGCCTTTCCAAGAACGGATTCCTCCATTCATGCCACATAGTGCAGATGGATAAATCTCCCCACCAACTGTCGTAATACCATGGGGCCTGTCCAAGAACAGATTCCCCCATTCACGCTACATAGTGCCGATGGACAAATCTCCCCATCAGCTGTTGAAATACCATGTTGCCTCACCAAGAACACCTTAAAGCTGGCCATTGATTGTTTTACTGTTTGGCTCAATGGATTCCTCCATACATGCTACATAGTGCAGATGGACAAATCTCCCCGCCAGCTGTCGAAATACCATGGGGCCTCTCCAAGAACGGATTCCTCCATTCACACTAAATAGTGCAGATGAACAAATCTCCCCACCAGCTGTTGAAATACCATGGGGCCTCTCCAAGAACGGATTCCTCCATTCACGCTAAATAGTGCAGATGGAAAAATCTTCCCGCCAGCTGTCGAAATACCATGGGGCCTCTCCAAGAACAGATTCCTCCATTCATGCTACATAGTGCCGATGGACAAATCTCCCCATCAGCTGTTGAAATACCATGTTGCCTCACCAAGAACACCTTAAAGCTGGTCATTGATTGTTTTCCTGTTTGGCTGAACGGATTCCTCCATACATGCTACATAGTGCAGATGGACAAATCTCCCCACCAGCTTTCAAAATACCATGGGGTCTCTCCAAGAATGGATTCCTCCATCCACGCTACATAGTGCAGATGGACAAATCTCCCCACCAGCTGTCGAAATACCATGGGGCCTCTCCAAGAACGGATTACTCCATTCATGCTACATAGTGCAGATGGACAAATCTCCCCACCAGCTTTCGAAATACCATGGGGCCTCTCCAAGAATGGATTCCTCCATCCACGCTACATAGTGCAGATGGAAAAATCTTCCTGCCAGCTGTCGAAATACCATGGGGCCTCTCCAAGAACGTATTCCTCCATTCATGCTACATAGTGCAGATGGAAAAATCTTCCCGCCAGCTGACGAAATACCATGAAGCCACTCCAAGAACGGATTCCTCCAGTCACGCTACATGGTGCAGATGGATAAATCTCCCCGCCAGCTGTCGAAATACCATGGGGCCTCTCCAAGAACACCGTAAAGCTGGCCATTGATTTGTTTTCTGTTTAGCTCAATGGCTTCCTCCATCCACGCTACATAGTGCAGATGGACAAATCTCCCCACCAGCTGTCGAAATACCATGAGGCCTCTCCAAGAACAGATTCCTCTATTCACGCTACATAGTGCAGATGGATAAATCTCCCTGTCAGCTGTCAAAATACCATGGGGCCTCTCAAAAGAACACCGTAAAGCTGGCCATTGATTTTTTTTCTGTTTAGTTCAATGGCTTCCTCCATTCACTCTACATAGTGCAGATGGACAAATCTCCTTGCCAGCTGTCAAAATACCATGGGGCCTCTCCAAGAACATCGTAAAGCTGGCCATTGATTTTTTTTCTGTTTAGTTCAATGGCTTCCTCCATTCACGCAACATAGTGCAGATGGACAAATCTCCCCACCAGCTGTTGAAATACCATGGGGCCTGTCCAAGAACGGATTCCTCCATTCACGCTACATAGTGCAGATGGACAAAAATCTCCCACCAGCTGTTGAAATACCATGGGGCCTCTCCAAGAACGGATTCCTCCATTCACGCTACATAGTGCAGATGGACAAATCTCCCCACCAGCTGTTGAAATACCATGGGGCCTGTCCAAGAACGGATTCCTCCATTCACGCTACATAGTGCAGATGGACAAATCTCCTCGCCAGCTGTCAAAATACCATGGTGGCTCTCCAAGAACACCGTAAAGCTGGCCATTGATTGTTTTTCTGTTTAGCTCAACAGATTCCTCCATCCACGCATTGAGTTTGGAATAAAGATGTTGTGACATTATCTCATCTAGATTGTGTTGATTGTGGAAGTCTCTCCAAGAACACCCTTGTTTTAGTGTTATTTTTGTGCTAATTGCTGTGGACCAAACCACTTTTCTCCTAAGATGAGCCTTTCCTTGTGGGTGTGTAATCCCTTTATACCAAGTGGTTACACTCAGAGAAGATCTTTTCTCTCCTAGTTTACAACTATCTCTGAATATTCTGTTGGAAGGTTACTGTGGAATGTTATCTTTAATGAGGAGCATTGCTCTTGCAAAGCCTGAATACTGTGGTGTGATCCTGTTCACACAAGAAGGGGAGCCTACGGTGCTCACCTTGAATCAATTTTGATCCAAAAGACATAGAGGCACTCCTGTTCTCTGTTTTCTCAGCTCAGTGTTCCCACTTCGGTGGATTGGAACGTTTTAGCAGACTTAGCTTTTTGTTCTCTAAGTGTAGATTAAAAAAAAATATTTATTGCACCCGATAAAAAGCCACTTACTGAAGTATGGGTAAGGAGTAGCACATCTAGTCCATCAAGGGTAAACGCCACAGTGTTATGGTCCTGCCCCCTCTCCAGTTGGTCAAGCTTGACAAAGGAGTATGTCTGTGATGAGATCTCTTACGAAACGCATTGCATTTCAATGCTCGGTGACGTCATCACGCCGACTTCTGGGTTTCCACCATCTTTCCGGCTCGAACCTGGAATAGTGTCAGTAGATCTGGTTGTTACACATGGCGGTGACAGGACCATAACACCGTGGCGTTTACCCTTTTTAAAAATATTTTTTTAAAAAAATATATTCTTCAGTTTTTTTTTAACATATAAAAAAGTCATTTTAATATATATTTTTACATATATTTGTAAATGCATTCCAAAAATGTAGATTTGTATTTTTAAAGACATACAGTATATTTGAAATGTATTTTAAAAATATTTTTCATATACTTTGTAATAAAAACACATATCAACATGCAGTATATATATATATATATATATATATATATATATATATATATGTATTTATTGAAATATATTGAATACAGCCAAAATTGTAGCATTTCACATATATGGCAATGTATTTGGGAAGAATATTTTTAAAATATATTTCAAATACATTTTTCTTCCATGTGGTTGTTTTAGTTGCTTTTATATATGGACTATGCCTAAAAAATTCAGAGAGGCCATGGTGTCTACTTCCTAGTTTTTTTAGTAGGCAAAAGGTTGGGAGGATGGAGGCCATTATTCAACCTGCTCAGATTAAACACATTTTTTTCAAGTGAAATGATTCAGGATGAAGTCATCACAAACAATAGTTTAGTTGATACAAGCAGGAGATTATATGCTCACAAGGCTCCGTTCACACTTGTGCGACTTGTCCTGCGACTTTGGACACTTAGGGTTTGACAAGAGACAAAGAGACTGTGCACTCTGCAAGGGCAGTTGCTCCAGAGCTTAGTAAATGAGCAGAAGCTCTGCTGACTTCATCATCCAATCATGTGCGAGTAAAAATGCAATTGTTTTCCTTCTACGTGATTGGGTATTCTTTGCAGAGTGAAGCACTGGAGCCACTGCATTAGTGCAACAGCACTTTGGAAGGTGCACAGTCTATTTGCCTTTAGTAAATCATTCCTATAGTATGATCCTCTGCATCCCGCCCACCCTCCACTGCACATACACTATATTGCCAAAAGTATTGGCCCCGCCCTCCAAATCATGTGATTCAGGTGTTCCAATCCCCTCCATGGCCACAGGTGTATAAAATCATCACCTAGGCATGCAGACTGCTTCTACAGACATTGGTGAAAGAATGGGTCGCTCTCAGGAGCTCAGTGACTCCAAGCGTGGTCCCGTGATAGGTGGCCACCTGGGCAATAAGTCCATCCATGACATTTCCTGGCTACTAAATATTCCACGCTCAACTGTTAGTGGGATTATAACAAAGTGGAAGCAATTGGGAACAACAGCAACTCAGCCACCAAGTGGTAGGCCACGGAAAATGACAGAGCGGGGTCAGCGCATGCTGAAGCACACAGAGCGCAGAAGTCGCCAACTGTCTGCAGAGTCAATAGCTAAATACCTCCAAACTTGGTGTGGCCTTCAGATGAGCACAACAACAGCATGTAGAGAGCTTCATGGAATGGGTTTCGAGCAGCTGCATCCAAGCCTTATATCACCAAGTGCAATACAAATCGGATGCAGTGGTGTAAAGCACGCCGCCACTGGACTCTAGAGCTGTGGAACATGTTCTCTGGAGTGACTAATCACGCTTCTCTGTCTGGCAATCTGATGGAGATGTCTGGGTTTGTCAGTTGCTAGGAGAACGGTATTTACCTGTCTGCATTGTGCCAAGTGTGAAGTTTGGTGGAGGGGAGATTATGGTGTGGGGTTGTTTTTCAGGGGTTGGGCTTGGCCCCCTAGTTCCAGTGAGGGGAACTCTTAACTCTTAAGGTGTCAGCATACCAAGACATTTTGGACAATTTCATGCTCCCAACTTTGTGGGAAGAGTTTGGGGATGACCCCTTCCTGTTCCAACATGACTGCCCACCAGTGCACAAAGCAAGGTCCATAAAGACATGGAGGAGCCAGTTTGGGGTGGAGGAACTTGACTGTCCTGCACAGAGTCCTGACCTCAACCCCCCCAAGAACACCTTTGGGATGAATTAGAGTGGAGACTGTGAGCTGGCCATTGATTTTTTTTTTGCTGTTTAGCTCAATGGATTCCTCCATCCATGCAACATAGTGCAGATAGACAAATCTCCCCACCTGCTGTCGAAATACCATGGGGCCCAGGGGCGGACTGACAACTCATGGGGCCCCCGGGCAAAAGGGGATCATGGGGCCCCTGTGTCCTTGCCCAAACTCAAAAAAAGCCTATGAAAAAGGTACCAGGGGCATCTCATGGGGCCCCCTACTGACCCCGGGCCCTCGGGCAGTGCCCGAGTTTCCAAATGGTCAATCCGCCCCTGGCTGTGTCATTGGACACAGCTGATAACGTGGTAAAAGGGCGCCGTGATTGGCCGTTTACGGAATTCTGTGATCAGCTGTGTCCATAGGACACAACAATCACCGACAGCCGCTGGGGGCATATTCTGGAATGACATCCATGGATGTTGTCCCAGAAACAGACAAACGCGCTGTAGCCATCCTTCGGCAATAGCGTGGTAGGGAACTGGTTAAATATGTTTTATGGGATTTGTTGCCTTTATCCTTTGTGGTAGTGGCTTTCAGCATAGTGCTCGCCATATATTTTGTATGTTAGAAAATATTTGCTTACCTGCTCCTGCTCCTAAAACCTGATACATACACATAATAGGACCAGTTCAGACAGGAGCCAATGACCTACCAGCATGTCTTTGGAGTGTGGGAGGAAACCGGAGTACCTGGAGAAAACCAACGCAGGCACAGGGAGAACAAACTCCAAATTGGTAAATACGGTGCATCCAGCAGTAATACTGTTATTTTATCGAAAATGTAATGTGGCAAGACACGTATGTCCTGCACATTCTGCAAAATGTTGGCGCTCACATCAAAGGCGTCCCATTATCAATGCAGGAAAGCCCCGTCCTCAATCTGTTCCATGTATGCTGGCTCTGAGATTCTCTACGCTAGGATGCCATCTGCTGTCCATGTATGGGTAGAGCATGTTTGCTGCATGACCGCAGTATAAACCTGAATTCCTGGGAAAATAAAAGTTCTCCTTTAAAATTAAACCACCCATACACGGTTCAAATTCTGAAAGAATTTTATTTAGAAAATCTTTTCTAAGAATTTTCATTTGAATTTCGCACCATTAGTGGGCCACAGAAACGGACAATTTTCATGCAACCATTGAATCTGAGTGATCGGGCATGTTTGAAATTTTTTGAAAAATGAACAAATTTCTAATCAAAAATGGGAGAATCGTGTGAGAAATATAATTGAAAAAGAAGCAAACGTGAGCTGTGACCTGGAAAGAAAAGAGAATTCTTGGCCACGAAAATTCTTTTCTGTAGCAACATGTGAAATTGAAGGTTTGGTTGGTCGAATTTCAAAATCAATGGTGGCGCCCTCGGATTACAAAATGCATGAAATTTCAGATTTTTTAAAGAAAATTTGTTTGGAATTCAACCCATGTATGGCCTGTACAGGGGCGGACTGACAACTCATGGGGCCCCCGGGCAATAGGGGATTGTGGGGCCCCTGTGTCCTTGCCCAAACTCAAAAAAGCCTATGAAAAAGGTACCAGGGGCATCTCATGGGGCCCCCTACTGACCCCGGGCCCTTGGGCAGTGCCAGAGTTTCCAAATGGTCAGTCCGTCCCTGGGCCAGTATTAGGCTGGGCATGCGTTATACAATTTTCTTGTACAATGTTCCTTTAGATCAGGGGTGTCCAAACTACGGCCCTCCAGGTGTTGAGGAACTGCAAGTCCCATGAGGCCTTGCAAGACTCTGACATCCACAGGCAGAGGTATGATGGGACTTGTAGTACTTCAACACCTGGAGGGCCATAGTTTGGACACCCCTGGTTTAGATTTTCCAAAAAACATGTAATATGAGGTCAAACCTAAACAACACTTTCAATTGTATCTAAAGGAAATTTTACACAAATTGTACAGAAATATGTAAGAAAATTGTATAATATATGGCCAGTCTAAGGCTGGCCATACACTATACAATTTTCTTACAATTTTCCAACCAATTTCTGCCCAATTTCCTTTAGATTTACCATCAACTTTGTAGTGCAAGGACCTGCCTAATTGGATACAATTGAAAGTGTTTAGGTTTGACCTCATATTATATGGTTTTTGGTGAATTCAAAGCAAATTTCTAAACACAATTGTATAATTTATGGTCAGCCTAATGCTAAATCTAAACCAAAATTCTCAAGAAAAGTGCCTAATGCTGGCCATACACTATACACTATACAATTTTCTTACAATTTTCTGTCCAATTTCTGCCCAATTTCCTTTCGATTCACCTTCAAGTATGTAGTACAAGGGCTTGCCCAATTGGATGCAATTGAAAGTGTTGTTTAGGTTTGACCTCCTATTATATGGTTTTTGGTGAATCCAAAGCAAATTTCTGAAGAAAATTGTATAATTTATGGTTAGCCTAATGCTGGCCATACATTATACAATTTTCTTGTACGATTTTTTTTAAATATACCAAAAGCCATATAATATGAGGTCAAACCTAAACAACACTTTCAATTGTATCCAATTGGGCAAGCCCTTGCACTACATACTTGAAGGTGAATCTTAAGGAAATTGTACAGAGAATTGTAAGAAAATTGTATAGTGTATGAGCAGCCTAATGCAGGCCATAGATGGGTAAGAAAAAAGGCCGTTTTTAAAAAAAAAAAAACACGAAAAATCGGTTGTTCAATAGGCCGACATTAGCACCAATGGTAAAAAAAAAATCGGCCGATTTTCGTCCCGTCTATGGCCGGCATTTAATTACTTCTGCCCCTGCAGAGAGCTCTGCTATTATATTTGACATTAAAAATATTCCGGTTGCAACATTGTATCTATTTGTATCCATTTCAGATACAGATGTCTTTATTCGGATACAAATAGATACATTGTTGCAACCGGAATATGTTTCATGTCAAATATAATAGCGGACTGGAATTCTTCTTTTTTCTTTCTTCTTCTTCTTTTTCTTCTTTTTTTTTTCTTCTTTTCTTCTTCTTATTTTTCTTTTTTTCCTGTTTTTATTATTCTTATTTTGCTTCTTTTTCTTCTTCTTCTTCTTTTTTTTTCTAATTCTTTTTTTTCTTCTTTTTTACTTCTTCTTCTTTTTCTTCCTTTTATTCTTTTTTTTCTTCTTTTTCTTATTCTTCTTTTTCTAATTTTTCTTCTTTTTTTTTCTTCTTCTTTTTTTTTTTCTTCTTTTTCTTCTTTTTTTCTTCTTTTTCTTCTTCTTATTTTTCTTCCTTTTCTTATTCTTTTTTTATTCCTCTTTTCTTCTCTTATTCTTCTATTTCTTAGTCTTTTTCTTTTTCCTCTTTTTCTTCTTTTTTTCTTCTTCTTCTTCTTCTTTTTCTTCCTCTTCTTCTTTTTTTCTTCTTCTTTTCTTCTTCTTATTCCTCTTTCTCTTCTGCTTCTTCCTTTTCTTCTTCTTTTTCTTCTTCTTCTTTTTCTGCTTCTTCTTTAACTTATTCTCCTTTTTCTTCTTGCAGGTCACAGCTCATGCGCAGATTTTTTATCGGTAAAACGATTGGCCGATTTGCCCATCATTGCCGGGAAAATCGGCCGATCATCAGCAAAATCGGACGATTTTTTACAGATAAAAAAAAATGTGCCAAAACCCTGAAAAGCAGCCAACCAATTAACCCACTAACAGTGTGAAAATCGGATGATTATTTTTTTCGGCTGATTTTTGACCCGTCTATGGCCTGCATAAGGGGCCATGAATTTTTTACATACCGAATCCTCTGCTTCCATGTGCTACAAGCCTGACCCTGCAGTCTCTTCTATCCTGCGCTTTGGCAGTCAGATGCTACTGACATCATCAATACCGACGTAGGGCCCATAGCCATGCCACACATGTGAAGATGCCATGGGACAGTCCACTGCCAGAACATAGGGGAGCACAGTTTGCCGGGGAGCAAAGGATCGGGTATATAAAAGTACTTTTCCCGTGCACTAACAGTTTCAGTGATAATAAACTCTGAGTTTTTGAATGCACTTTCAGCTGATCTAAATACTGATACTTACTGAGTATGCTGCTTGTTTAACTTTTAATCCTTGCCTATGTTCTAGAGCAGGGTCTGCAAACTTTCAAAATAAAGGGCCAGTTTACTGGCCATCAAATTTTAGGGGGGCCGGAATGTGGCCAGTAGGAGTAGAAAATGCCCTGACATGAATATAAATATAAAGTGCAGCGCTATAATAAGGTAAATAGATAAATTGATGAATAAAATTAATAAGTACGTCAAAAAAAGGGGGGGAAAAGCCCCAGGTCAAAAAAAGTCCCAGTAAAGATGACTTCAGGCGCCCATACACACTGACCAAAGGTGTATGCACTGTGGCAGAGATGGAGTTCAGGATGTAGTCAGGGAACAGAGGTAGATGCAATCCCCGGATTAGTGAAGATCCCCAGGCCAATGTAACACACGTTCCACAGGACAGCAAGGAAGCAGTCACAGCTCCACCAGAGAAAAACACCACTCCTTCACTTCACCTCAGCGGTATCTAGGAGGAGATACTCCCCACAGAAAGAAATGCCCATAGTAAGGTACAATAAATACCGTTTATTGAAATAAAACAGGATGCATTCAGAAATGATGAATAATGAACACACCGCTAGCTGCATGTGAAAGCCAGCAGTGAAGCAAAAACGGACTAACCGTCCTGTCAGATGTAATGGCCGCCGGAGCTCCCCAATGCTCCGACGGCGTGGCGTCAAGGCGTGCGCAGGTTCCTCCTAAAGGAGGAGGAACCTGCGCACGCCTTGACGCCACGCCGTCGGAGCATTGGGGAGCTCCGGCGGCCATTACATCTGACAGGACGGTTAGTCCGTTTTTGCTTCACTGCTGGCTTTCACATGCAGCTAGCGGTGTGTTCATTATTCATCATTTCTGAATGCATCCTGTTTTATTTCAATAAACGGTATTTATTGTACCTTACTATGGGCATTTCTTTCTGTGGGGAGTATCTCCTCCTAGATACCGCTGAGGTGAAGTGAAGGAGTGGTGTTTTTCTCTGGTGGAGCTGTGACTGCTTCCTTGCTGTCCTGTGGAACGTGTGTTACATTGGCCTGGGGATCTTCACTAATCCGGGGATTGCATCTACCTCTGTTCCCTGACTACATCCTGAACTCCATCTCTGCCACAGTGCATACACCTTTGGTCAGTGTGTATGGGCGCCTGAAGTCATCTTTACTGGGACTTTTTTTGACCTGGGGCTTTTCCCCCCCTTTTTTTGACGTACTTATTAATTTTATTCATCAATTTATCTATTTACCTTATTATAGCGCTGCACTTTAT